ACAGAAAGGCGGAAGGCAAGGGGGAGGTGACGAGGACCACTATTTGCCTTCCGTTTCATGTGATCCCAAGTTTATTCCCGCAGGATTATACTATTCCTATGAAAGAGACTCCCATCTCCAGCTCCCATTATTGTTTCTCCTCCTCCTTCTTCCCCTCCACTAGAGAGTGAGAGAGAGAGAGAGAATCTCGTCGCCCACCGACCACTCGTGAGGCACAACCTTGCACCGTCCACTGCCCATCAAAGCCGGTTCCTTTCTTTATCCCTGCACAAACAATATATAGGATGGATGGGAGAAGGAAGGAAGACAAAGTGTGGATGCCGGCGGAGTCGGCAGTGGAAAGGAGGAACCCAATTGCATTATTATACGTCCCTCTCTTCCCTGCTTTTCATTAGTTTATGTCTGCCCTTTGCATTCCTCGTTACAATTCCATTAGGATAAGATAACAACAGCCAGTAGCCACCCACGACGCCCGCCCCCCCCCCCCCGTCTCTGTCTATCTCCTTTTCTTTCCCTTTCTTCTCTCTCAAAGAGTCTTCTCGACTTGTAAAGCTTTCCTTCCCGGCAACCACCGACCTGCCCGTGGCTTCATCCCGGCCCTTCGTTCTGTCAAATGGACCCATCTCAGCCGTCGGCGTATCGGCATCTCTCCCAACTGATTCCAGGAGGGAGAAGTAAACCTCGACGTCGGCGGCTGCGCGCGTCAACGCGTGTCGCGCCCTCTGGCGTTCGTGCATGTCGGTGAGAGGGATTGGGTACTCTCTCTATCTCTCTCTCTCTCTCTCTCTCTACGTGGCCGCGTGGCCGGTCTACATGCATCTGCGATCCGACTTGGAGCCTTATCGTTTGGATCTGCACCTGCGATGACGTCCGCAAGCGAATCGGCCGAACCGGATGTCAAATCATGGTCCGTGAAATCATCATGGTTCTACTCGTGACACGTGGGCCCCGACATGGGATTAGTTTCTCAATCAAGATTACCGGAGCCACACAGCCTATCTAATCACATATGGTTGGAGTTCATCATGGCTATTAATGATAATTAATTAAGGTCAACGAGCTCTGTGGGCCACAGGATCGATCGGGTTAGTGGAATTGGTAACATCTCGACCGTCCGCCGTCCCTTTCCGTCACCATTTGATTGGCTGTATGTTTTGCTTAATCGTTATGTCCCGCTGCCAAAGCTGTCGTTAATCTCCTCGTCCTTTCGGTGGCAACTATAAAGGTCTTGAGAGAGAGAGGTGGAGCGGGGAAAAGGAGGGAGAGAGAGAAGGGATGGAGGGGCAGCTGTGCTCCACCTCCAATAGCGGGGAACCGAGAAAGCCTCCGCCGCCAGGGGCCGGGCGGAGGGTGACGGGGGGAAGCGAGGGAGACGGCGGCGGCGGCGGCGGTAGCGACAGAACTTTCAGGGGAGTGAGGATGAGGAAGTGGGGGAAGTGGGTGGCGGAGATAAGGGAGCCCAACAAACGGTCCCGGATTTGGCTGGGGTCCTACTCGACCGCAGTGGCCGCCGCCAGGGCCTACGACACCGCCGTCTATTGCCTCCGGGGCCGCTCCGCCAGGCTCAACTTCCCGGACGAGATCCTCGCGGAGGATCTGGAGGCCGAAAGCTTCAGCGGGAGCGGCGGCGCCGGCACCTGCGCCATGTCGGCCGCTTCCATCCGGAAGAAGGCCACCGAGGTTGGCGCGAGGGTAGACGCTCTCCAAACGGGACTAATATCATCGCCACCGCCTCCGCCGCAGCAACTAGGAGGTCACCAGTTTCAGCTTCAGCAGTCCCCGACTCGGCCGGCCAAGAACCCTGATCTCAATCAGGAGCCGGCCCCGGAGAGCTCCGATGTGGATTAAGCTACTAGCCTATCTCTCTGTGTTCCGTAGTTTCCTTCAGCCTTCGGCCGGCATGGCCGCCTGTGATGAAAGATAGAACAGGAAAAGAGGTGTCTTTGGTTGTTCTTTTTCTTGTACCCGGTTGTTCCTCTCTTTCTCCTTTCCTGTGTTTGCTGTCGTTTACTAAGCGTAAGGATGGGGAAGGTGGTTGGTCACATTCCAAGTCACGAAAAAGAGAAATAAGACCAGACAGACCAGGAATGAGTTCGGGTGTGTGGGGAAGATGGAGATAGATAAGACGTCGCTGAACATGACGTCGGCGTACAGAAGAACACTGGAGATTGCTAGTGTATGCAATGATGGTGCAGGACGCCGCAGTGATGGTCAAACGGACATGACATGCTCATGTCAACCCGCCGCAGAAGCTCAAACCGCACCGCCTGCGACGAGGCGTGATGTGTTGGTGGCAGCGCGGAGACGAGCGGACCGGGTGGGATGGCTGCTGTCACCGACCGCCACCACCACCGCCACATGCGTGCAACTTGGTATGAGGAGGGCTCCACCGCTAGTGCGGAGCAGTCCAATCCCAGTTGTGGGTGCGAGAATGAGTGAGTGTTGAGATGATGCCATCGTACCTCATTCTCATGCCGGAGAGACACTTCTTATCACCGCCGGACACGCTCGAATCGACTTCAAATCGTTGGAGGAAGACGAAGCGTCGGTGTTGGGATCTCCTCGGTCAATTTCACAAACACCTTCTCTGCGTATAATTTTTTGATTTAAAGTGGATCAAAATGCATAGATTTAAGAAAAATGATGCTTAAATCAATTCCTACACACATCATCATGCATGTTATGATCAATCAAAAGTATTATGATTTCTAAGAATATTTACAAAATAATCAAATAAAGCATATTTTTAGTGTGCTTTTATGGGATGACGAGCCCGTAGCATTTCAACGGCGCTGGGCCACCGATCCCCTCCTTTTAAAGCGTGGAGGCGCTTAAAAGATAAAGATGAAGTGTCTCTGTCACGATATTGATGATCGATTGGTATCTCCGAACCATATGAGTCTATCGAGGTGTGCAAATGGAGACAAGCCAAAATGTCGTGCATGTACGATGTTGTATTCACCTTTGGATCCGTCTATTTCTTATTTTCGCTCGATTTGTCAGATTTAAAATGAGAATGAATTGGATAATTGAAATGTAAGCCACATTGGGAGATAATTAAATGGGTCGTTTATTTATTATGCCTTACTATAAACACTTGCAATAAAACAAACACTAACTATCAATTATCCCAAAAAATAAACAATAAAGGTTAGCAAGATTAATCTTCGTCGATTGACCTTCAGATCTCGAAATAACATTAATAATGTAGTTATAGTTTTAAATTTCTAATTAAAGTTTAGACTTGAGTTGATTAGATGCAGGAATGACATGTATTTCGAAGACAGTCGAAATAAACGGAGTAGATGCATAAGGAATAATTTATCGACGATATGCAAGTTTGATGTGACAAAACTGCCCTCCTTAGGACGTGTAAAGCGGCGAATCGATCATGGGTTAGGTCGGCCGTACCTTAATGCAGGAGATGAATCAAGTCCGTCCATCATCGTATACCAACGTATCTTACAGGGAACCTGTGGTCACCTGTCGACGTCATCGGTATTTATGTGATTATGGGAAAGACAAAGAGCATAAATGACAATTTGTAACTTGAGAACAAGGACAGTTCACCCGATCTGTTTCTCTCGGGAAGAGTAACGGCCTCCGTTGTGGGGACCACGTCACCCCACATGCTGTCCTGTCGCGAAGCAGGTAGACAGGTGAGTGGTAAGAAACAAGTGGTTAAAGCATTTTGCCACCTTTTGATCCCGATCGACGTCGATGAGCAAATACGTATAGTTATACGATGACGACGAAGAAATCCATGTATAGTACGAACAAATGCTCCGCCGTCCAGCAGATTCAAACTCAAGCCCTTCCCGCCTTCCAAGGCGTCACGTTAGGGTTTCGCTCCGATGGTCTTCCCGATCCCGGATCGTCGGAACGCCCGCGCCGGCCTCCTCCCCGGATTCGATCCCTAGTTTCTTGATCTCGTGGGACGATGGCTTCGAAGGCCTGCTTTTTGGCTACCGAGTGAGAATCGGAAGGCTTGTCAGATCATCAGGCTCCTATTTCTGTCTTCTATGACTGATTTGATGCCTGAGGTAGGTCGTAATGCAGGAACATAGACGCACCATGGATGCTTGGCCGTGATCTGCCGGAGCTCCTTCGTGCACTCAGGCTCCCGAGGGCACACGCTCGTCTCCAGCATGTACTGCAGCATCAGCGTCAAGAAGAAGCTTTACGGGGATCGGTAAGCGAGATGCTGATGAGGAGGGAGGGGAGACGGTGGGTTACTTCGTAGAGGGCGTCGCTCTGAAGCAGGCTTTTGTGGCCCATTTCCTGATGCCTGCTCTGCTCTCCATTCTGGCTCTCCGTCGCCATTTCTCTCTTCTCCTATGTTGGTCCTGTTCTTCTCTGCCTCCTGGGATTGGGCGGGGAGAGCGGGCGAGAGAGAGGACTTAAAATAGAAGAAGGAACAAATGGGGAGCAGTGGTGGCGATGCGACCTCTTTGTGGGGGTCCCACGTCTGTAGGTGCGTACTCACTTCACCCACCTCCTAAGATTGCAAGCATGATCTCACCGCCATCACGCACGCAGGCCCTTGATGGATACCATTGAGATCTTTGGGAGCATTGCCACAGTGTTGGGCTCGGCATCCCGTGCCGCTGCTTCGGCACGAGACGTTGGCCTGCCGAACTGTCTGAAGCATGGAAGGAGCGAAAAAGATGCCGAAGCAATAGCCTGGGGGTCACACAACAAATGCGGGAAGTGATGATAGGCAGTGTCTGTAACGTTAGGGGAGCCATGACGACGCATACCAAGAAGAAAACAAGACAGTAGATGGAGATTTAGGTCATAATCGTCCTTAAGAAACCTCTGAGCTAGAAAAGATGGTAAATCTCTGTTATCCTCTTCCTTGTCATGTGCTTTTCACTCTTTCCTTGATGCAATCTTACTCTAGCAATGAAATATGGTATTATTCCTTGTGGTCAATCCAGTAGCCGTTGTTTCTATCTATCCTCCTATGAATAACTGCTGCTTACAAGTGAACACAGATGTCCAGGTTACTTCTATCAAACATTTGCAAAAGGGTTGGACGAGTCAAGGCCTCATTACAACTTCCAAGTGCAAATAATAAGGGTTTGCAAAGCATTCAACAGCCAAACTGGTGCACCTCAAAATCTTTGAGAGACTGCATCTTTGCAATGAGCACTGGGGGAAATTTTTTCCCTGTGCTTATAAGCTGGTTGAGGTCAGAGCGAATGAAGGAATCACCACCAAAAATTTCCAGGCATGAAAGTGACAGAAATTTGAAATTACCGACGCAAATGCTGGATGAATTCCTCCTTTTCTGATGGCTCATCTTGCAACCTGACTCTACCTAACATGCATTCGGCAACATGGTCTGCACCCACTGAGGATGATGCTTGCCCTCCGGGATGTTGGGCAGCATCGGCAGCCATGGAATTCACCTCATTTTCTATGTTGAAAAAGCGAGGTGGAGTCTTTGATGATTCACCTGTGAGGTTCCTTGGAGAATGTCTAGTATCTGGCTGCTGTTGTGTTATCATTTCTTGTGTTAGAATCTCCTGCGATGGTAGAAACATCTCAACATCAATCGATCAATTTTGCATGCTTCGCCTCAAAATTCCATATGTATCTTTTTGTTCTTCTGATCAAGCGTGTTAGCAGGAAAATTTTCCTTTTCTCTTTTAACTTGCAAAACAGAGAGTAGGATGAATAGAAGACTATGGTGCGGTAAAGATTAAAAAGGGTTACCTCGATGGACACAGGCAATAGAAAAGATCCATGGTGGGACTGCGATGGCTCCATTGCCACTGGAGTCTCTGGCTTAGTAATATTGATAACACTTGGTATGGAAGCAGATTGATTGGACGACGGTGACAGATCAAACGTGTTCGGAACAGATGATACTTGGTTTAGGGGCAGCATGCCTACAGCGTTCACTGCTCTGTTGGCACCCAGACCAAAATCAATACCCATTGGCAAAGCTTGCAAAGGCTGCAAACCTCCAGACAAGAACATTGGATGTTGACTTAGGCTGTTCCTCATCGAAAGCATCTGCGACAATAACGATAAGTCAACAAAGTATGCACTAGAATTTCGACGATTAAGCATAACACAGTACAATTTAATTGACTAAGAAAATGAGTGTAATAGATGACAGATTGATTAGATAAACGAACCACAATTTGGAAAAAAAGAAAAAAAAAAAATTTGTTGCTCTTTAGTAAAAAGAAAACGGCATCCACTGAAATTTCAACAACAAAATTCTACTTACTCTACTTATTGGACTTTTTTATTAAGGGCCATCAGAATGCTCATCCATCAGAATGTACCTAGCTTATACTCTAGAGCAAGATGATGTTATCGTTGTCACATATTCAAACCATTTGCAGACATATATTAAGAGAGATCCTCATATGCTCTCTACCTTGGTTGCTCTATATCCCAAGAATTTACCGGTGATTTTTCAATATTTCACTTGTTTTGTTGAACTATAACCATATTTGTACCATCTTTGTCCTGTATTGTTCCTTCACAAATAAAATTTGGGGGTATGTGATCTTCATTCTGTATTCTTCTTTATTAACGTTTTGGGGTATACCATTTTCATCCTGTATTCTTCTACATTTATTAAAATTTGGGGAACATCCTGCAATTTCTATTACAAAAATTAAAAAGAATCGATTGGCTTCTCCCAGCAGCTTTTTTACTGATTTTCAAACTGTAAAAAACAGTGAAGGGGGCTACTAAATCAGTGTAAGTGGTGTTAGGACTAGTCAATCCAAACTCAGATTCCCAGGATCAGATGAGAATCAAATGACCCTGATAACTGCAGTAGACCTATCATAATTCAAGTTCAAGGGCCTTCTTATTCCATAAAAGCTAGGAATAAATAAAACATCAAATCCTACAGATTTCATCTTCACCTTTGCTCACTAGAAGGTTGCATGATCTATCTTGACACCATTCATACAAGCAAACCCCAGTAGCTGTGTTTCACACGAATAAATCTCTAAAAGTTGAATGCAGAATCATGAGTTTTGACTCAGAGAAACTTATGTTAGAGGAATTCATAGCAGAACTTGTCCATGGGTCAAATTTTCTTGGGCTCAATAGAAGAAACACCTTAACCTTGTTCTTCTTCGGTTCAAATTTTCATTTTCACCTAACCATGTGTCTACCAAATCTAAGAAATGCTAGAACTTGTCCATTGTCACTTACCCATGTCTGTTGCATTATCTTCATAGCAATTTTGCTGACTGACCTCGCTATCATCCTTGCCACAATAAACTCATTGTGACAATGAAGTCAATGGATTTTGTCCTAACATGGTCACCGAATCCTTTGCAAGATAAATAGCAGTCTGTGTCGCAACTAATGATCATCTAATTCATATAAAAAAGATGATCATCTTAATCATTATGACGAACATTTCACCACTAAATGTTTAAGTTAAGTTTCTATTTGGCCTCCTCAAGTCCAATATATAATTCAGGTATGTAGTTGACACAATTATGGCAAAGATGGAGGGTCTAAACTAACTGATCAGTTCGTCACGGACCCATGCTTGTCCAAATTACTTGAACAATTAAAATCTGTATGATCTTTTCTTATCCAAAGAACCCAAATAATTTATGTAAGCTGCATCTGCAATCTCCGAAAAGTTCGCTTCATCGCATCCTCATTTAGGTTTCTTAGACTAGCCATGTATGAGTCATGATCACATACATCAAGCAACCAACAGCTCTGGCATAGAAAAATTTGAGCATATAAGCTTGCTCCATCATTTTCAACTTATAACTCCATAGACAGATTGAAGTGTTAGACCCTGATGTCTGAATGGTCTTTGACCTCGAAATCAGAATCCTGACTCTGACATATCATCTAGAATTGAAAACCTCCCAAGTCCTTCCTATCAAACTCCACAGTCAACTAAAACTTCAGAATATCAAACTCACTTCTACTTTTCCCTGTTATCAACATGTCATTTACACAAAGCATGAGAGTTAATAATATGTACAAAACATCAAATTTTTTTTTTTAGTTAATACAATTGTCCTAATTACCTTTTGTGATCTTCTCTGAGCATAATCCCATGAAATAGCTGCTGGCACTTCTTGAGTGTTCGTTTCAAAACATTGAGAAATCTCCTGAACCAAATGAACCATATGCTACTTCCAGTCTGTCATGTGACTATCACCTCTAAGTCAACACAGAAGAACATTATCTTCATATAAGCTGATCCAACTACATATCATAAAAAACAGTGGATCTATATTCCAGATAAGATTGTAATTTGCCACCAGTGACAAGTTTTTCATTTTAGGTCCACTTTCTTATTGTGTCATTGTATGATCGACTTTAATTGCTATTGGTGGCTTTCTTTCTCCGTGGTAATTGAAGAAATCCTTGGCATAGAACATATGAGAAGTCTTCTCTCCTTTAGCATAGCTGCCAGCAAATGAACATCTGACATCACTAGCATAGCATATGAGACCATGTCATCTAACCTGTACTTTAATATTAGGCATATTTGTCATCTCACTCATATCCTTTGGAAAAGGAGAAAAGGACCCAATGAATCATTCTATGACACCATGTTGAATCTTCATTTTAGCTCCATCTCAACAGAGTTGGTCTCCGCTTCATGCTGCCGAGTGCTTCCGCAAGATTTATTCAGAACAAACTCGTCATCAAGTAATACATCTTCGTTTCTAAATCTAGGATCTTAACCCTTATTCTTCTTGACGAAACGCCCAAAGCATGTAGGTTTAAACCTAGTATTCAGCTAAATGTGGTACCTCTACTATGTGCGGAGTCCTGCGGACATGCATGTGCCAAATATCCATATCTGCCAATTGAAGGATAATTCACTAATCTTTGAGTCAATCATTTATAAGTAGAAGAAATACAGAAATTGCAAAGGATCTAAAGATCTCAGAGGTTGTTTTAGAGACTGATTGTCTTTTCCTGGCCGACTATCTCAGAGAACTTGTTGAGTACTTGAGTCTACTAGCAGAAGATATAAAATACATTGGCAAACATTTTATCTTCTCTTTCAATCTGACAGAAGCAAACAGATCTTCTCACTTGCTAAATAGGGTCCTTTACTTGAGATCATACCGGGTGTTGTGACATGCCATTTGATGTTGATCGACTGTACAGCACAATGTTTCAACTTTCATGTTCATCTCTCCTCAAAAAAAGAAAAAAAATATGCTGGCAGAGTTTGACATTAAGTCTTGAAGGGGGTTAATCAGCAAATAGCATCGATCATATAAAGGAATGCTAATTAACTATGACAACACCAGCAAAAGGTTATTGATAAGAGTGTCCGAAATTCAAATTCAATAAACAACCTCAACGGTTGAAGAGAAACACTCAGAATTGCATGACTCGAAGACTCTCCCAGAATTCATATTAAATTTCAGAAGGCTTCTAATCAAAAGGAACATGCTCCAAAAAATAGTAAGATCAAAGAGACCAGAAAGTGAAGCATTATGATATATTCACTTATTTAAACAGTAAACCGAAGCAGATTTGAGGTTCCATTGCAGGATTAATCACCAGAAACGGGTGAAACAACAGAATGACAAACCTGTACTTGGAGCTGTAATTGCTTGAGATATTCGATGGCCTCATCAAGCATCGAAGCCTTGTCTGTCTGCTTGGAGCACAAAATTTTCCACGAGGAATCATACCGCGTCAAATTTTCAACGGCAATTGTCAACTGGATTAAAGACAAAAGATAAAAAAAGGCCACATGATTTACCACCTTGCTGGAATTGGGAATCAGACTCTGCAAAGCCTTCATTTTCTCATTGATTCTACTTCTCCTCCTCTGCCAAAAAATCAGATTACCACCAGCACGATCAAGTATGGATATTATCAAGAAGAAGAAGAAGCTCAAATCACCTTCTCGGACAAGTTGTGCACTTCTGCAGCCCTGTTTCTCTTGGAGCTGGAAGTCCGAGCCGGAGCCAGCTTTGGGGGCTCCTCGGACACCTCCACCCCATCATACAACGAATTGTAACCAGATCAGCCATCCAGTTATCCGAGGAATTTGTGTACTTGAAGGGAAACAAAGAAACAAAGCAAATACCTCGATCTCACAGTCAAGAGAGTCCAAATCTTGATCCGGAGACTTCATCCTGGAATGTAGCAGGGAGGACCCAACAGCCCCAAAGCCATCCTCCGCACCAGCCAGTGGGAAGTCCGAAGAAGGGTAGGAAGAACAAGTGGGCGAAAGGTGCCCCAGCAAGAAGGAGATCTGATCCTGATTCCCCTGGTAATAAGCGTGGCCGCTGCTGCCGCTGCAGAGGCTTCTGCTGTGAGCATCCATCACGCGCCAGAAGATTCTGAACCAGCGGAAGGAGCGCGAGGGCGAGATGAGCAGGAAGAGGTTGCCCCGGTTGCTTTCTCTCCCTTCCTCTCAGGCAAAACCAAGCGGAGCTCTGCTCATTACTGGAGTGGGAGCGAGTACATGCTGTGACACCGCACCAACACTGCACAAGGTTTAAGCCCGCATTCCAAACATACTAATTTGGAGGGCATTTATAGGGGGAGGGGTGTGTATGTGTGTGTTTATGTGGGTCAGCTGGGCTATTCTCTTTCTTTAATGTTTGGCTTCTGCAAAAGGCGTAAAGTACTGAGCAAATGATGACTCTTATCTCTGCTGCTGCATCTCTTTGCTCCCCCCTTTCTTTTTTCTTTCTCTCTGTGTGTTGGAAGGGCGTGGACGGGTGGATGGCATTAATATATTTAATGAGTCGTCTGTCCCACTCAATCGCGTAACTGCCAGTGGTAAGTCTCGGGTGCCATCATCGCTCATCATCCTAATCTGAGCCCCCCCCCTCGCTGCTTTGTTGTCGTTGTAACTGCGGAAAAGGCAACGCATGACGAGGTGAGATGATGATAGCAGCATCATTGACAAATTGGTGTTCTATTTATCGACGAAAACTTACTGATATATTTATTTGACGTCAGATACATTTCAATGGATTCAGCCAAAATAGCCCATCTGTGCCTACTGTGGATTGGTTGCCATGCGGTTATCCAATCTTTAAAGTCATTTGAGCCGTCTGTCTACAGGTCGGTGGATAAAGACGCAACTGCGTTGTGGTTATCCACCATTAGTAAATGCATGTGGATGGGGAGGAGCCCACGAACACAAGAAATTGAGACGAAGATGTAAGTATATTGAATGCATGAAGGTTCGCTTATGATCTAACTGAGTACCTTTGTTTGCACCCCGGAATTATCTGCTTCCTCCTTCGAGTTGGAACGCCAAAACAATTCCTTCACCTTCTCACTGGAACTCATCTGAAAACCCAGAGGTGTAGCAAGCATAAGTTCTAATGCATACTTGTAGGGGGTAATGAAGAATATTGGAAGAGATGATGATAACTAAGGAAATGACTTCAGTGTAGAATTAAATCGTACCTGATGATGCAGAACCTGCAGAGTAAAATGGTGGAAAACATAGCACGCTCTGATTTATGTCACTGGAAGTAGTGCTCAGAATGCCCATAACACAACACGGTATTCCGGCAGATGAATGCGAACAAAATTATCAGAGAAAACGAGAAGAAAAGAGATTAATAAGGTGAATATCTATTTTCATTGTTTCTGAACCCAGCAAAAGTATATCCTCTCTATAACACAGTCGATCATAAAATTATACTTCAACCTGTTCACAAGAGCACCAGGTCACTAAACACGCATTAAGTGTTCAAAGCATTGAAACTCCAAAACGACTTTTATCAACCCGATAAATCGAAGCACATCCATGAAATACTTGTTTAGTACATTATAGCATTCAAAGCATTCACTTAAAGACAGCTTTCATCAACCTGATAAGACAAAGCACACTCAGAATATGCTTACTACATTCAGAGTGGCAGTTCCTTTTTTTTTTAAACATATGCAACAGATACGTTATTTTTTTCCGCTCTTCTTAAGACCAGTGCCTCCAAATGATCCCTTCTGAGATGCCTTAGCCCTTAATTCCTTTAGCGCCTGTTCAGAATAAGAAAATGATGACCAGTTAAAGCCAATTCTCTTCATCACTGTGATAGAATTAACATAAAAGATTTCACAGCTTTCGGGAAGTATACCTTTTCCTCATCTTTCTTCTTCTGAATATTTGCTTTGTCCATCTGTAAGTAGCAAAAAGTACACATAAAAGAGGCAGCAAAAGCAATATGCCTAATATATAAATGATACAATATATAAAGAAAAATAAAATGCAATCACTAATCTCAATGAAATCCACTGTGTTTCATCTGTAACCTTGACACGAGATTGTTTAACTCTGTTTAAGATCACAAATTACCATGGAAATATAGCCAAAGAGTTGTAAAGACATAACATAAACGTCATGAGATCGTTCAACTAAGACTAAAATCACAAACTACCAAGGAAACATAGCCGAAGAGTTACGAAGATAAAACATAAACATCATGAGATGCCTCAACACTCAACAAGGTAGCATAAAAATGCTGTTCCTTCTAGAGTTGAATACATAAAATAAAGAAGAAAAAAAAGCAAAGCAAATAAAAGAAAAACCAACGGTTCTCATCAGTTGCTGCCTGTATTCCATGAAACATATACCGTAACTGAACCTAGCAAATTACTTAGGTGTAGACCGACCGTGTTAGGTTTAAGAACATGGTTGCAGTTTTAAGCCCCAAACTGGAAGCAGGAGCAAGTAAGAATGATTGAACGCAAACTAAGACAAAAAAGGCATTAATAAAGGTAGTGTTCAAAAGGAAGTAGCTTAAGTGTTTGTTGACTTGTACACACACACACAGATCAAAGGAGCACAGCTGATTCGAAGTGCTCAACAAATGGACTTCTTGATATCTAGACACAACCATCAGATGCAAGTACGAAACTTACTCTCTTTAATGTCTTAAAATGGAAGCATTTCTGAAGAAACTAGTTCAAAAGTTGAGCACACGAGCCAGATATAAAGGCAGAGGAATCATCTGTCCTTATATTAAAGTCTCAACAAGTCAAAAGGTTGGTAGTTCAACTTTGCCTAAAAGATTAGATCAACTCGTACATCATAAATGTAATTTAAGAGTTAAATAACAGAGTTGACTTCAAAACAGGTAGGTTGGATATAACGACCCATGGACAATCAAAAGGCATCCTCCTTGAGGATGGCAAAGGTGAGAAATATATCATGGGATCAATTTTCTGTGACTTAAACCTTTGATGTTGTTTATATTAGAGGTAAACTGCTGGGGCTTAAACCTTTGATATTGTTGCTGGGAAATGTATCATCTGCCCAGTGCAACAGATATTTTTGAAAGACTAATTATGCATTGATACATGGTGGAGGAATCATGATGTGTAAGAAAAACAATTATGAACAACTGTAGTACATAATCATTATTTTGGATGTATAAGACTGAATTTTGAATTTAATAACATGTCTTAATGCATAAGACTGCTGACATTAAATGTCACGTCTAATGTTAGGGAGTAACCTCACCATGTAAATAGGAGAGTTACCACATTTCTTCACTTGCAGTCATCCAACACTGGAAATTGCAAGCAACAAATGTAACACCCAACTTCAATCCCACATTGGAAGTTGGAGAAGCCTCAAGTAAGTGTATAAGTGTATATTATCACTAAGTTGAACATTTTGGGCCAGTGGTCTAGTCCCAAATAGTTAGAACTTACGGTTTTGTTGTTGTTATTATTGCTGTTGTGATCCAAGCTCAACATATTTAATGAGTCATTGATTTTGCTCACTTGGGTCAACAATTGGTACTGGAGTGACAACATGACGAGGGGCTCAAGGCGGAAAGAGATATCTAATGGATGAGATTACAGGGCACACCATAGTGTAGAGCCACTAGAATATGTCTCACAAGTATCAGGTTTGATTATGGACTATGTTACTTGACAAGGATGTCAACACCTTAGGCAAGCGAGATTGTAACACCCACAATAGAAGTGGGAGAAGACTTAGGTTAGAATGTAAGGGTCACTGGGTGTACTACCATTAATTTAGTTCAAACAATTTGCACGAAAGTGAACATGGGCTTGTAAGGCTTAACAAAGTGAATAGGTAAACTATCATATCATCTTATCGAGTCAGGTGATAGCAATTGTACATGTGCATCCAAGCACCAGTATCGGCCACCGCTGCTTGCATAATTTGCTTCTGCCTGCAACTGCTACTCATTAGCATTTCCAGTTGCATACAACCAAGCACCCCCCAAGTAATTTTAATAGTATACAAAATTATGGGATGAAATTAATTGACTTGAGCCTCATATTTTCATTCTCCCAAGCATGTCAGGATGTCAAAGAGATAGCTCCATAAGACGGTTAGTCTTCATTGAGGTTGGATTTATTTATGTTTCCGAAGATTTCAAAGTGATGACACACAAATTAAGAAGAGCCTAAGATAATCTTTAAGGGTAAAAAAAGCTCAAGTAGATAAACTACTATAACAATACAATGGCATGATAACTTCTGTTCTGGCACCAAGAAACCAAGGAAGCTGAATGGAAATAAAGTGGGCCATTGCTTTTCCCAAGGCACCTCTGTGCCCCTTAAACCTAAAAAAGAAATCATATCCTTCAACCAAGATCGATAGAGGCATTTGAAATCTATCCAATTCAAGACAAACAATTTTTTCTTTTCTTTTCTAGAATATATTGAAATCCAGAATTCCCATTAAGACCTAAGTGGGTGAGCAATCTTTTCTTGAGTGCTTAATTCTTTAGATGCAATGGCAGACGAGTAGAGAGGAAGGGAGAAAGAAAGGGGAAACGAAATTTTCCACAGAAGCATCAAAACTGTCAAGAATCCTAGAATCGTATAAATTAGAGACACTCAGAGCTTTCAATCAAGCAAGCCATCAAGAACTTGATGTGAATCCGATCAGACCAGACATCCCAAGCATCTGTAAGATCCAACAAACGATCGAAAGCGTGATCGATCGGATCAAGAAATCGTGCGCACCTCGTCGTACTCCTTCTTGTCAGCCTTTGGCTGCTTCAGGGGCTTCAACTTCCCACCTGAATCAACCCGAAAGATCTAAATCCAACGACGACCAAAGAGAGACGAAAGATGGGGAAAGAGGGGGTCAGATGCCAACCTTGTTTGGACGACATGATCGTCTGGTGCGGCGGGAAGGCGACGATCGGTGAGAGGAACAGGCGAGATGGCTCTCCGGGCTCCGTTCGTCCTCATTAATCCCTAAATAGATGGACGACGACAGAAGCAGGTGTGATGTGCACGTGCGAATCTCAAAGCATGGGCTGGTACGACAGTGGGTCATCATAACACAGAGAGTCCGATCCGGACTCGTTTCGGTGACATGATCGGATCGGTATTTATCGTTGAGTTCAAATGTCGACATATCGTATGTTCCAACATTTTGAGAAGAGAGAGAAAAAAAGAAAAGAGAGAGTACAGGAAATGTACCACTCATTTCACATTATTTTGAGCAGTGCAATAATCCTTACGCTCAGGTTCATATTTCAATCAAACCTAGACTTCATAAACATTTTTCTTACATCAATTTTAATTTTATATATTGAATAATAATAATAATCGATATGATCATAACATTTTATGATCCGACTTGATGAATTCAATACTTAAATCTTATATTTTCTTTCCAATTTTTTTACAGAAAAATACATAATTATTCATAATTAGTTCAATTTAAATTATTTTTCTCTCTCTCTCTATATATATATATATACATGATTATAATTATATATATATAATTATAGATGTGGGCTTTAGTAACCTCTACTTTTCTCTAACGAAAATCCTAACTTATAGGTGTGATGGCTAAGAAAAAAAAAAAAATACAGTAGTGATTGCGAATAGGATTGAAAAATTGACAGATAAGATAAGGACAATGCAGATATTGTTCTCAATCATCCATCCAGGTAATATTATTACTTTAAATTAGATTAAATTTATAATAAATTCTTACTATAATTACTTGGAGAGATTTTGGATATTGTGCATAGTAATATAATCCTTCTATGTCAGTTATTCTCTAAGAAACTCTAAGATTTATATATTCATTATTCTTATAGTGAATTTTATCTAACTTGCCCTATGATTTTTACCTTTCATGTTGGAAAGATTTTTCATATAAATCTTGGTGTTTTATTTTATTGTGATTTTCGTTTGATTCCGTCAGCTTATATTTGCTCGTATACAAAATTTCTTTTTATCCCATCAAACAGTATAATTTATACTGCTTAATTTATTTTTATTGTCTCTCAATAACAAGGATTATATGAAAATCTTTTGGTAGGGTCTCCCATGATATTGAATGAATGTTCTCTTAGAACAGATGTCGACTTGAACATAAATTGCATCAGACAATATATCTCATCTCCCACTTGCTTGTAGTGATCCAAACATTACCTCAAGGCTTTCATGGATAAGAAGAAGAAGAAGAAGCTGATCCCATGTGTGGATAGAGCAAGCAAGAAGCTGTCTCCTACCATAAAGAAGTGTGCAGTTGGTCCAGAAGGGGTTACATTATTCCTTGAAGAATCAAGATATTGATGTTTTTTGTGAGCATTGGAATAAAGCAACCCCAAACCTTCACAATAATTGTTGTGGTCATCCAGCATTGGATCTCCCAAAGCTATCCTCTCCACACCCACCTCATCTCCACCGCAAGGCATCGACACCTCCTCCTCCTCCTCCTTTGTCAAAAGAGACTGGGAGCTGGCCGCCACCAGGTGGTGCCAAATTCCTTGTGCTTAGATTCCCCCCTCTCTCTTGGTGGATGTGAGTCACCATGACATAACTTGAATGAGACATTATATTAGGAGAATTTGTTGTAATTTAATTAATGACCAAGATATGTATTAAACTGATGATATTCTCTATGACTATCTAAATCTAAGAAATCTTCCTTACTCCGATCTTTGAAATCTCAGCACAATAACTATCTTTTCTTTTCATTCTGATTCTAATGTATCTTGTTGATCCCCTTCTATTTCTTGTAAGTTCTTCAGTTTGATTCATCTTTGGTATTCACCTCAGAAGAATACAGTTTAGGTGTTATAGAAGCTTACAATATGCTTCTATTTAGCAGTTAATATTGTCTTGAGGAATACTTATTATTTGATATCAAATTGATGAGGAATTTATGAACTTCCCTTTTATTTTTAATCAATTATTGACTTTTTTATTTCTCTTTTTTCCCCTCTAATTTATGATCACAAGGATGAGTGCTCACCATTTCTAGAGAGATAAGCATCAAAGTCACACAGCATTACATTCCGAAGATATAAATTACTGTCACTGTGATGGCATGTCTCCAAGAGCCAAGAGAAGCCCTGTCACACAGGAGCTTGGAAGATGGCCTCCGATGGTGCCGTGGCGGTCTCCAGCCCCGAGGGCGAAGGCAACAAGAAGGAGAAGGCTCCCAAGTCTCTGGCTTCGCCGAGGAGTAGCAGCGGCATCGGCGGCGGTGGCGGTGGCCTCTGTCTGTGCTCGCCTACCACCCACCAAGGCTCCTTCCGCTGCCGGTTCCACCGCTCTCTCTCCACCTCGTGGATGCGGCGCTCCAAGTCCATGCCTTCTTCCACCTCCACCTCCAACTCCTCCTCCTCCCCTCCTCCTCCCCTCTTTCCCAATCCCTTGGAGGCTACTCAGAACTAGGATGGACCGCAGCTGCGTCATCTCTCCATTCTGTTGCTTTCAATACTAGACTTTGAACTGTAGGTAACCTCATCACTGTGGTACGCATGCAAGCTTCTTTCCTTGGTTGCGAGAGCTGAAGCCATGTTTCAGTGGATCAAGTTCTGATTTGTCAGCTCTCTTTGCTGATATATATAGAGAGCGAGAGGGAGAGAGAGAGTCTTATAGTTGGATTTTACTGTACAACGTTCTGCTGCAAGGAGAGAGACTAATCCAGTTGATGCTGGAGATATAGATCAGCCAATGGTATCATGCATGAGCTCAGGAGACTGCCTGCACTGTCGATGCTTTCCACTGCTGTAATTTCCATGGTTTATGATTCCCTCTTATCAGTCCAGAAGTCGATCATCGATCCTAAATCAGGAGACAAATTGCGAATCTTGACACTTGTGAGGAGAGATTACCATATCGAAAGTCCTCGATCATGTTGGATCTCTGTGCTTCCTCCTGCAAGAAAACATTTAGATTTGTTGTGGGTTGATGATTAAGTGACAGGGGATTAATTTTCCTACCAAATTTCGCTCTTAATGTTTCCAAATTCCATATTCAATTAGCTTCTTAGAAATTAAATTATCCCAATTTAATTACGTGCTTGAATTTGTTTTTGATTAATAAGTGTTCTAATCCTACTTAAATGGATTAAGTATTCATTGGTATCTGAAAAATCCGATCCGCTATCGTCGTATTCGTCACACATGATTGACCACCGCCGACGATTCCCTGGATTAATTGACGACCTAGCTTTTTGATGATTGGTCGACCAAGTGGAGCCCATTGCGGAGCCACAGGTGGGTCGAGTTCGGAGGTTCCCCCTAATTAATCACAAATGAGAGAACTCCATTGCCGATTCTGTAAATTAGATCGGACAGCTACCCTTGCGATGATTGGAAGACCAGGTGGAGCCCATTTGGCTAGATAACGTGGGTAATTGGAGGCAAGAGATAGGTAGTGTCGAGCAAGATGGCGGAGATCCGCCTGTTGGGCTCTATGGGCAACAGGGCCTCCGCCGCCGCCCTCGTTCTGCGTCGCTCGTTGCCTTCTTTGTCTTTCTTGTGCTGGCTGGTCTCCTCTCCCTCCTTTCCGTTTGGAGTCGCCTGGTGAGCGCCTCCTCTACCTTTCTTGATGTCTTGTGGTTCTTGAATCGAGGATCTTCGAAGTCGCCTTCCCTATGCCGGCTGGCCTCGTCTCCCTTCCCTCGCTTTGGAATCGCCTGGTGAGCTCCTAATCTACCTTCATCGATACGGCTTGTCGTTCTTGAATCGAGGATCTTTGGAGTCACCTGGTGAGCACCTCCTCTACCTTTCTTGATACGCCTTGTAGTTCTCGAGTCGAGAATCTCTGCTGTCTGGCTGGCCTCCCCTCCCTTGGAGTAGGCTGGTATGTGTCTTGTAGTTCTTGAATCGAGGATCCTGGAGTTGCCTGATGATCTCCTCCTTCTCTGCCTTTTCTGCTATGCTTGATCTGTCTCCTGGTTCTTGAATTGGGTGTGTTTTCGATCCTTTTCGATGATAAAGAAGTGATCTTTGGTCTAACAATGGCTAGTTGCGCACCATTGCCTTTATCTTTGGAATTCAGTTGCCATTGTTTAGCATTTTGGTTGCTGGAGTTCATGGAAGGGACGATCATTGAGATATTTGCCATTTCCAATATCTTGCAGGCCCACATGTTGATACAAATTAAGTTTAGGAAGAAAGAGATGCTCACATGTTGAACATTAGGCAAGACAGTAGGTTGCATCAATTATTTTTTCTCCTGTTTTACTGTTGGGAAGCAATTTACTGTATGTATATTACATGCTTGACTCCATAACAGTGTCCAATTTTGCAAACCCCAATGACTGCTTGATCTAAAATGTTTTCTGCTGAAATTTATTTAGACAATAGCTTCTTGATTCTGATAATGTAGCACCTCAATTCAACAACTGAGCTTGGCAAAATATGGTTGCTTGATCTTCGGTGAAATTCCATCGACTATAATATTGAATATCGAAATGTTATAGAAGTTGTGTATTCAAGTTTTTGGAGAAAGGTCCACCCAATAACACTTTCATGTTAAGTTAGATTCCTGAAACATATGGTTTGTGTTTTACGGTCTGATCGAGTTCGATCAACTCCAGCTTATTTCAACCGATTCTATTTAATAGGGCTGAGAAATCGACCATAGATGGGACCAGTGTGAAGTGAAGAAATTGTATTAGAATAATATAATTCATGATTATGCTATTGTTATGCGAAAAACTTTAATGTTACAAACTGAAATCAAATAACGATAAACCAAATATACGATGCATACCTTTCGATGTCATTCAGAATGCCTTTATCTGATCTATAGACACATCATCGTTGGATTTGAAAGCTACAGCAATGTCGATTTGTAAGGAAGATTAGATTCGTCTTTTTCTCCCTTTGTATCTTTCATGGGATCGCTATGAGCGATGATTTCAGGACTAAGACGGATTGAGAATAGATTTGTAATCTCAGATGTTTCGTCCTTAGGAGGTTCTCTTCTTTTATAGATGAAGAGCAGAGGATCTAGAATGATAATTAGGCGAGTCCCTCCTATCGAGATCATCTCGTAAGAAATTATATTTTAATTAGATTTTTTTATTGGTCTATAATCATAGTCATAATCTAATCAGGTATATGATATATCTTAATTAGATAGGACCATGTGATCTAATAAGTATTAGTTGCCTTGTTTCCGGTGAAGATCTAGCTGATCCATGTAGGATCTAAAGCATATTTCTCTTGGCAAGTGCTGTGCATCCTGCTTCTATCCCGGTGAACTTCATTCTTTACCTGTTTGTCTTGCAGGTTAGCACAGAGAGGAACCAGCAAGCAATTAAGAAGAAATAGACCATGTCAAGAAGCATGTGACGAGCTTCGCTGCCCTAGATTTCCTAGTATGCTTGCGGTTGGATGTGTTTGTGATGACCAGCCGTGGTGGCAATTTCGCCAAGCTGGATGATAGGAGATCATTGATTGCTGCACGGGCCACCGATTGAAGTCGATAAAGCCCCCAAATCCTTGGGGAGGATGTTGTGATAACCCACCATATGCGGACTGGCCTTCCTGGAAAAACCTTCCCCAACTATGACCAATGGGAGAATCTGCTAACTGCGTGCATGCTTAGAGCTGGGCTGCTGCTTCTTGTATCGTCCGTTGTCCATTTTCCCATTTGGTCAATCTGTTTTTTTTGTCCTTGCATAGTCTTTGTTTCGTCTGTGATTTATAACTAAATTTAGGCCTTGAACTCCGTTGTCTCGGAGAGAAAAGATAGACATGTGGTAGTGGTAAAGATTGCGCAAACTTTGTTCTAACAGTGGAATTTGTTGTTCATGTCTCTTTTTCTTTTCTGTGAAAAAAAAAAAAATTGTCTGGGTAAGCTTTTGTGCCATCAGAAAGCAGGATTGAACTGCCAAGGGATTTTTTTGTGTGTATTGAACAAACACAAGAGGTATGGTTCAGATCTTTGATTGATCTAACTCTCACCAAGTCCTTCATTCTTTAGAAATATGGTAGCAAGGTAAAATATAGAACTATGAGCCTTTGAACACCCAATTCTTCCTGATTGTGAAAAATACCTTCTTATTTGCTCTTAGATCATTTTGTTATTTCGAGGTAAGAAAACATCTAAAAAGGCCTGTGGATAGAGCAGAAAAAAGGAGAGAGCGAGAGAGACAAGAAAATTAGAAGAAGAAGAAAGGAGTGAGCAGAAAGTAATTATTCAATTTCATACCATGAGGTCTTCTCCTTTCTAAACATAAAACGAGACATTTTGAACCTCTTTTCATAACAACCATGCGTCGAAATATAGCAAAAAGAGATGTCTATTTTCTTTTGTTTTTACAATAACACATGCCTAATCTGTAATATCAACAGCTTAAAGACACTACTTATGTGTAATTCACAGTCAATTAGTTCAAGTTCGACGTGGAAGAAATATCAGAGACTAACAGCTCATATCGAAGATTAATCAGTCTAACGCAAACATCTCTATATATTTTGAGCATTTCGTCATTGCAGACAAACCCTCTTTCGGTTGCGAGTATATCACTTTAGCTCCCTGCTTCCACCATCCAAAAATTGAACAAATGGAGTAGAAGAACAGAAAAGAGCATCATGTACTGTCACCCTTTTCTTTAGGGCTTTTCAGGACTTCCTTTCCACAGCTTCTTCCTTGTTATTAGAACCCTTTCTTCGCCCATCGAAAGAGCATCGACCTTTGGCTCCATGTCTGATATCCAATGATCCCATCTCAAGGCTGTCAAGAACCTCTTGATGTAATTGATCATGGGAACTTTGTCCCTGATGATTGCAAACCCCATAGGTCGCAGCATTCTGTCCATCTCGATGAGCAAATCCTCCACGCTACATCCCTGCTTCTCTACTTCGGACATCAAGAGCCAAGCATGAAGAAGATCATAGGTACGTGGATAAGTAGAGAATGATTCACACCTGCAATAATAAGAATTCATATGAACAGGTCCTTTTGAGATTATGAGATTTAAGATGCTATCCATGCATCAGAAAAACTTATCTGGAATACATTAACCACGACTATTGTAGCATAGTATTTCAATAAGGAGTCAAGAGCACCTATAGATTCTACAAATAGTTCAGCAGTATTGGCTTGTATATGTCTTACATAGCCTGTGTATATTGGTCAAGACAGTTGCAAAAATAGCAGACAAACAATAAAAAGAGAACCTTACAAACTAAGATTGGCTATTGTAAATAAATCAAGATAAGATATATGTTAACAAATACAGCTGAAGCTTTGTAATTTTTTTAATAACCACCTAGATGAGGAATCTGTATTTGTGTCAGCTTAAACCACATAAGAACATATTAATTTACCTTCTGCAAAAATTAAAAGCAAACATAAATATTCTAATAATTAATTGATTTAATTCTGAATTATTGTAAATTTGGTGCAACTGTTCAATCCTGCAAGTTGATTTGTCTCTCATCATCGTCTTACTACTCCAAACTTCCAAATCAGGGAAGCTGCATTATTTCTAACCTGCGATGAGAAGTTTGTAAAACAGAGGATAAAATAATTACAAATATGTGGCCAGCTGATGTGCTAAACACTGAAATCATAAATGGCATATTCTGAACTTGTTCAGCAGTCTTGTTCCTACATTTATGACTAAGAAAAAGTAAATAGTGAAGACATTGCCACAGCAAGATAGTAAAACAATAAATTTGTATACAAACCAGTCATGAAGAGTTCCTATTAAACCTCGATCGTAGATGATCTTCAATTTGCTTGACTCATTGACCGGAACAACATTCATCACCCACACATGTTTGTTCACAAGAGATGCTGCAAACCCACCAAAGTTTGCCGTCATATCCATTATGTTTCTAAAAGAATCTTGTTGTATCTCAGGTTTCATCTGCTTCCAATATTCTAGCACTCTCCAGTTCCATACTTCCTGCATTGCATGATTAAAGTATCAGAAAGTGAAAGATGAAGCTCATGAGCAAATTCAAAAGAGCTGGCTATCACAATGTCACTTAATCATGTTGAAACCTACAGTGTCTTCATTGTACTTTTCATCACTGATGCCAACTTCTTCTAACCGAGGAGATGGTGTTACAAGCCTTTGTGGCCAAGAAACCAGTTTGCCTTTTGCACTGCTCACTCCTGCTTTCAGACAAAAAAAAAGCAATATTTAAGGGCATGATTATAAACTGTTATTAAATTAAGATAGCAGACAAAAATGAAGGCATTCAAGCAATCCAGCTGGATATTAATGCATGTTGACAAAAAATGAGTTAACTAACAAGTGTGCAATCTACATGGATACCAACATGTTAACAAACACCAGTGAGCTGATGAATTTTGAAATGAACATCTGAGTAATTTTAGTTGCCGTAATGGCTAAATTAGCAAGAACAAACCCAGGTACATCATTGATCCGAGTACTAGTGGGTGGATGACAATTGATAATCCATTTAAATGATCTATCATCCAATTATGACCCTTGGAGCTATTATTACAAAGAAATAATGGATTTCCCTACTACTTCCCTAGAACATGGCAAGCAGAGACTGATCAATGGCCATAAATGCAACTTTATCAGACTGAGGGATTAACAGTGCCTACAGCACCATTTGATGTATAATGGACATAACATGCAGACATTTTCCAACTAACAAGATTGTTGAGGAACTTTAAGTGACTTTCTTTTTTCTTGTGCATCCTTGGCATTTCCATGTCTAACAATTTACCTATTAAATCAAATTAAAATCCAAAAGCTAACATAGTACAGTGACGGAAGTATTCTTATTACAACAAGAATAAATAATTGATGTTACCAAATTGGACAATACCTAATGAATAAAAGTGATGTTTAAGTGATTAAATTACTTGTTAGGTAAATCTACATACTAAAATTTACTTACTCTTTGAGTAAGGTGTAATGCATGCCTTCATAGACACATTCCAAGCAGCATCAGAGTCCTCATCAGAACTGCATAATGACGGAAGAGTGCCAGGGTTTCGTCTCATGTAACACCCATTGGTCAAAGGTTTAACCCAAATCACAGTCTGATTTCTCTTTGAAGCTACCTTCCAGCACATCCTACGAACAAGATCGCTCATCGCATTCCATATCCTCCTATTCTTCTCATCAGTGGCATAAGCCTCAGGAGAAGAGTAAACAAAGTATCCTCCAGGCCTCAGCACCCTGTCCAATTCAAGCAATAGAATTCCATCTCTCTGAAGCCAATCAATCCTACACCGTGAGCAGTGTGCTAACTCAAACGAACGGCTGGGGTAAGGCAGCCTTTTGGTCCCCAACACGCCAAGAGTGGATGGAATTCCCCTCTCGAGAGCAAACTGTATCTGGTTCTCATGGACATCATTAGGGGCGAGAGACATTGCAATTATGTTATGAATCAAAAGGTATGCCCCAAAGCTAGCAACACCACAGCCCACATCCAGGACAGTCCGAATGTTCCCACCATCACTAAGGTTATCATTCCGAAATTTGAGCATCTAGATTGGAACAAAAGATAGAAAAAGGCTGGCATTTAAAGTCAAATTACAAAAGGGAAAAAGAAGTCCTAGCACAAAAAAGGAGTAAACTTTGCACCATCTCAAGTCATCTAAAACCTGTGCAATGTGGATGATGTACTTATCAGCTCCTGCATGAAAGTGTGTTCCGCCACCAGGGAAATTGATCTTGTCACCGTTGACGACCATCCACCTCTGGTCAGACTTCTCCTCGGCAAGATGTGTATGGGGAATGTTTGCCTTCCACACCTGATCCCGGCTTGCAGGCCAGCTTATTGGAACCTGTAACACATGAATTGCTCAGCAAGAACAAAAATCACCCTAACAAAATATTATCTAGCAAGAATGGTTAGATCTCAAGAGTGAGAAAACTGTTTGTGGCAGTCACAGTGATGTAGGCCAATTCGGCAGCTTTTTGTTCAATTTCTCATGGACTAAAATTCTCACCGGTATGAGTCAAGGGATTTCTTTTAATATGAAACGGATATTTCCATATCTTTACTTTCCGCATATTTCTGACTCATATTTATAAAATAATCATGGCATTATGTGACATAAATTTTCACAGTGAGTGGTTTAGTGTATGGTTCGTCTTATCAGCCCATACCAATGTATTGATCGGCCATTGGTCCGGTATATACCAGTTCATATTAACATACTAACACATGATACAACGGAGCATACCGACAGATCGATATGTACCGCCTATACTGGTCCCCTTGTCGGATCAGTATATACCACTCCAGTACACCATGGTACGGTAAACCTTTATTCAGTGACTAATATATTTCTGCGTTTAATAGGTCCCACAGAGAAGGAACCTTCCCTGTAATACCACATTAACTTCTTTCCATTCTAACAGTACAGGCTTTGCATAAGATCCAAAGAGGAAACAAGTTAAATGAAACTAAACCAAAGAATTGGTCGGCAATCCCTATTGACATCTACCAAGAATTTGCAGTACAATCTTGGCATCTATCATAGATCTGCAAACGAGCATTCTTGCCATCTAATTGCAGAACGGGTAAAGGACACTAACCTTGTAACCAACGGGAGGAGGAATGAGGCAATTGAATCGGCGGCCGGCTGGCGGGCAGTGGCGCTCATAGTGCTCCATCAAGGTCAAATTCACCCTCAGCTTGAGCTGGTAGATGAGACTCCGATCCAAGCATGGAATCAACTCGGATAACCTCATGTCGCAGACCTAAAATATTTCCGCTCGTGACCACCAGGGAAGAACCATCAAAACACCAACTTTATCAACTAAACACAACCAAGAAGCCAACTTCATCGAGGAAAAAGCATCAAAACACTTGACTAGAATCCGGCGATCGAAAGAGAGCTTACAGGAAGCGACTTGACGACGAGGTTGGCGGACTCTCCATATAGAGAAGAGGGAGCGCCGGGGAAGAGCTCCACATCGTCGAACATCCGGGAGCCGCCGTCGGCGTCGGTTCCATCGCTCGCGCCGCGGCGGGGTAGGCCGGGGGCGAACGAGGTGCCGTAGTAGAGGCAGAGGATGCTGAGGGCGAGAATGAATGCCACAAGGAGGGAAGAGAATATCTTTCTACCGAGGACAACCTCCATGTTCGTCATCTCTCTCGCCCTCATCCCCCGTCCCATTCACTCGCAGAAGCACTTGAAGGGGTTAGGCAAGTGGCCACTGAGACTACAAGAAAAGGCGTGAGAGGCAGAGCCGAGAAATAAATTGGCATACTCGATACACACCGACATGGTGGTGCGAACGCGGAAAACGAGAGAGAGAGAGACAGAGATGAAGCAGGTCACGTTTCGAGATGGCACCGAAAGGTGTGGTCGAGGGTATATATACGGAAGGTAGAAGAAATCTTCATCCCTGTGTTGCTTTAAGATTCGTGAACATTAGCTCATGTAAGAAAAATATATATATATTCTATGAATAAGAAAGTTTATTTTAATTATATGATTATCTTATTATTATTATTTAATTTTTAATACTTCAAAATGGATTTATTATCTAAACGCCAAGATTCTTTTCTAGTGTTCGAAAGTCTCCGAAAAGTCAACGCCCGACCCCGCATGTGCACTGCACGTGCCCTCTCACCCATATTTTTTCCCCCTTTTTTTTATTTCTTAATTATGACCCTGCTTTAGTGTTATTGACTCCATGGCTCCTCCACATGGGGGCCCGCATTTACAAGCAGCAAGAAGACAGTGAGTCGCGACTGGTCGGAGACACGAGGTAGGAAAATGACTACTGTTGGCGTGAATACACCGCGAGGTCACGTGCCCAAGTCTTAGCCGCCCTCTTGCCTCCTTTCTCCAGCTGCATCCAATCAAACACCGGGTCGAGTTTTTCACCAACCAAAATCTGCCATCTGTATATTTGTTTACTGGGTCCAACTTTTCGTCGACGCCTCCAGCTTCGGTCTCGCCGGCCTGGGTACTCGCTTCCGGAAACAAAATCACGTGTCGAAGTACCCTTCGCTATGATTGGTCTCTGGGTAAGGGTCCCACTGTTTCCTCCTATAACACGGCAGTGAGAAAATGGGTACTCGTTTCTCTCGGCGATCAGGTAGCGGCCCAATCGCCGCCACAAAACACCGCTCGATTACCAATATACTACTTGCACAGGTCAAGTCTTCCAAGAAACCTCTGTCTCTCAATCTCACCTCAATTCATGTATATCTTGCGGAGATTGGGCGATCGAGGTGTTGCATCCGGCCTCGGATGAAGACTAGGTTTTCTCGATGGATTGTGGTGCGTATGCCTCGCTGATGTCTGGCTTCCTGCTGGGTTTGTCGGTCTTCGCACAGTTGCATCTCAGCTCCGTCGCCGGGTCGGCTTTGACCGTCCACAAGGAGTGCGGATCTGCTGGGATTTGGTATTCGTGGTCGCCGGACGGGTATGAGTTCTTTGTAGGTCGGAAGAAGGTGGACGATTCTGTTTCTTTGTGCCAAGAGTTGGTATCGTACTTCGCGAGCGGGTGTTCGGTTTGTAAGTCTCATGCGAAGGAATGGGAAAGGCTCGGCAAGGACTACTGCGGCCTGGACTTGCCAGTCTTTGCCGTCGAGGAGAGTGATGCGTGTTCCTCGGGTAATTCTTCTCCTTTTCTGGTGCTTATGCATAGAGATTATGTAGAATTAAGTAGAATCGGAAATAGTTTCTTCATGAAATCTGTGCTGCTCAGAGAATTGGTCTTCTAGGTTTTTAATTCTGTTGGAAACCTTTTACATTAGGTTTTGCTAGTCTCTTCTCGGGGAATAACTAGTTACTTATAATTTAATAAAATTGAGTTTCAAGTATAAACAAAGTTACTTATAATAATTTATTCATGGAGTTAAATACTGAGAACAACTTATGAAAATCAAGTATTTATGATAGAAGGTGCAATTTGATTGTTGGACTTTTTATAATGAGGAAGGATTTCTGGATGCATGTGAATGAAAATTCTTCATACTCTTCTTCTGTCCTAATCTAAGACACTTTTCATATTATTGGCTGTTCATCATTAGAGTGAACTCCATCTTACAACTTCGATTTATAGAAACCTCGCTTGGGTTAGAGTATAGTAGCATGTTATATCTAATATCTAGTGATAGATGCATACTGAAGTTGAAAGCTAAGAGGACAATCTAGGAACCTAGTTAACAGATCAATTCATCTAGTGATTGCCAAGATAGCGAAATATGGTTAGAGGACTGCTGAATGCCAATAGGACCTCACAAATTGTGTAATAGATGGTCTATTTGGGGAATGCAAATTAGTGAGGGAATGCAAATTAGCAACCTACATATTCTATAGGTAAGGTTTTCCTCTTCCATGCTATAATTGTTGTAGAGTTTTAACAAATTCATCACATAACATTATTGCTGAATCAATCATCTTGATAACTTTAAGATATCCTATCCATTCGCAAAAGTTGGATTTGATAGTAGTCATGAATGAGATATGACTTAGCTTACTAATATTGTCACAGAAATCCCTTCAATAATACTTTAAAAGTTTAATATTGAAATAAAAACTTGAATAAACTTATTGCATCTCATGACGATGTAGTTGGGTGCTGTTTGTTGTTCATGATTTTTCTAACAAAGTTTATTGCTGACTTTATGTTTTTAATGCAACCTCCCTCTCCTTTCTCTATGTCGGGATTAGAGTAGCACCTTTATGCATCTAAGCAAAAGTTGGGACAAAGTCCACTAGTTCTCCCTTCATCCAAGACTGATGGGTCTGATCAAATCAGAAACATATGACATAAGCATCACTCATGATGATATTGCAATGTGTAGATTTTAGATTAGAGAGCTACCTTAATGTTTCCACATGAAAGTAAGATCTCTCAAAGGCAATGATCAACTTGACAAGTAATACACTGACCTTCCATATGTTGGTGCACCTAACTGTAGCTAGTTCTAATAATACACACTTTTAATCTAAATAATCTGATAAAGAGAGGAGCAACAGCTATTATCTTTTAACAGGCCTGTCGACAAATCGGATAAGCACAGTATATATCCCTTCTCTGATGGCTAATTATCATGCTTAGAAGGCATTGGATCTGAGCCATAAATACACAACAAATAGCACAAAAAGTATACCGGAGATCATGAGGTGAAGGCACTGTAAGAAACCTAGAACATGTTTCTAAATACTAAAGATATCATCACAGCAGTGCCTAATATTGAAGAATAAAGCTGGTTCTTAGAATGAACCTCAGGGACAATAGACCAGCAAGAGATGTGCACTACCTATCTATAACTCTGAGTTATGTACTGTAAGGAGGTACTCATCATTTTCTAGAGACTTATTCATAGGAGATAGAGATGCTTCATCAGTTCTTTGAGATGCTTAAGTCTAAATTTTTACATTGGGTGGGCAATTTAATACAGTTGCTCATAGTAACTTTGGTAAGAGATCTAGTGGAGATCCTATAAAAACCATTTCCATCTTGGAGATTTTTTCAGTGATTTTCATTTAAAAGATGAAGGTAATAATCCAGCATTAGCAAACGACATCAATCCTAGGTAATCCATCTTAGAGGGCTGACTATGTTGCTTTACATCTTCACAAGACACAACTAGTTGCCATAGTCTGGCCTTGTTAAGATGATAACTAGATCTGGAGATTTATATGTTTCACACTCCAAATAGTGTCATAAATATTTGCATGTAGTGAGTGTGTGTGTGTCCCACTTTAAGGAGAGTACTTTACACAGTGAAACCAGTGTATCTGTGGAATGAGAAAACCACGCAACTAAAATTATATGACTATTTGATAGCAGGTGGTCATGGAGATTGGGTAATAGACAAAGGAATCTTATTTGACCATATCTGTGAAGGAATTTTATTTGTAGTACCTCATTGATGCCTCGTTGTAGGTAGGATTACATAATAGTGTTTACTGAAGAAATTGCATGCTTTAACATAAAAGAATATTGATAAAATCCATGAAGGTTGGAAGTATATTTAGAGGAGGCATTTTACATGGGTCTTTCTTAATTTGAAAAAAAAACTGAATAATTTGGGGATCCTTGTTACCAATAAATTTAATTTTTTTTATTATTCCACTGGTTGAGTGTTTTTTTTTTATATTAGGTGCATTTTCTACTTCATGCTGAAACTATAATTTCAGTACATTAGCCTCTTCTAAACACTTGTCATGCGCTTGGTTTATGAAATTAGACCTTTCCTGGTTAATACAGAGTTTAAAAATTCAACATAATTTTGGTCATCTGTATTAGCTTATCTTAATTTGGATTTGTAGTGGACCTGCTAAGATTAGAAGGGAGAGAATTTCTGCAACCATCGTCAGATGCCGTCACTGTTGATGAGCTAAAGCGAAAGAAGGAGCAACAATATATTTTAAGTTCAGCGCCTGATAATGTTATGTTAACCATTTCAGGAGCTTTGTTTTTTTGCTGCAGTTTACTTTGTCCTTGTCTTCGTTCAAAACGCAAGGACATTAGTGAGGATCCTGTTCTTGGTGGAGATTCGGGATCATGTAAGAAAAATAAGTCAGTCTTTTTCGTTAATAAAAGTTACACAGAGATAATTGTGTTCATTAATAAAGTAAGCCAAAGAATTTTTTTTTCTGTTGCAGTGGATTCTTTTGCATTAAGATCAAATTCAGAAAGGATACCAGGAACTCCACTGAGAGTACCCCCTAGTCCATCTCGGTTTTCATTGTCTCCACAACCAAGTATAGTTGAGCCATCACATCTCAGCCTCAGTGAGATCGTCAAACTTACTCATAATTTCTCACCTTCTCAAGTTATAGGCAAAGGTGGTTTTGGAACTGTCTATAAGGCTGAGTTGCCCGACAGGCAGGTTATTGCTATTAAGCGAGCAAAGAAGGTAATCTTAAATTTTAATCCAACTGAAGAACTTGTATATGCTCATTATTGTATGCATGTTAGTCACATTTATAACAGTACATATAAGTATATAACCATATCATGTGATACTTATAAGGTTAGATTTGGAGTAACTTTTCTTAACATATTATCAGGTTCGTTCTTGCAACCAGTCAGGAGTAGCTCTCGTCTATCAAACGACATATATAATGTAACTGTTTTGCTAATATAATGTATTTAAACATTATGTGATGAAATGATTATGTAACTATTTCTGGGTGAAGCAGCATCTACTAAGAACATTTACTCTTACCACCATGATGCATTTATGCCAAATATGTACTTACCTTCTATAATTTGCTTAAAATCAGATGTTTCTTTCGGTTGATGCTTTATAAATT